CTACCCCAGAGACAGTGTGTCCAGAGTAGCAAGAAACTCCAGTAAGATCAAATCAGAGCTATCTGTTGTCTTCCCCGAATGAAGCTCTTTCTCTTCTCTCTCTCTCTCTCCTCTCTCTCTCTCTCTCTCAAATATACATATATATAACTTTTGTTGTCATCAATCAATTTGTGAGGACTGGCCAAAAGTTAAGTTAGTTCATGTAACTCCACAGAAAAGCAGCAGTGTGTAACAAGAAAGTGGCACCTTCCGATAGTTTAAGAGTGCTAACACAAGTAGAACTGTTATTATCCTAAAAGAAAATTTTAGCCTGTGCGTCTCCAGGATTACTCTGGTTAAAAGTATTAGGAGATTCAACTATAAAAAGAAGGGGTAATTTATAATCTCTCTGAGGCCAACTTTTAAGACTCCATAGGTACTAGTGAGATGGGGTGTAGAAAGAGCATGTGCCTTCTTATGACATCAGTGTAACGCTGGACTGCTGAAAATTTCAATAGATTAAGCTGTTTAAAATACGTCGCAGCTCAGTTTATTCCTCAGGTAATCAACTATTAATGGAAAATTTCTATACTGGATGTTCAGCTTAAAATTTGGGATTACTGCTGCTTTGAGTGCTATTTATACAGTTGCGAAAACTGTTTACTCTTTTCTTGGAAATGCCTTCTTTGTCAAGACTACCTAGTTTGAAAGTTTTTTTGTTTGTATTTTTTAAAAATATCTCAAGGGCCAGCTACATCAATTAAGCTCTAAACAGTTAAGGGAGGTGGGGAGTAGGCAAGAGTGGGTAACATAATTCATACCCTACAGTACAGACTAAAGTTAATTTCTAAATAGCTGAGGTGACAGAAAAAGGACTTTCCAGGTTAACATGATTGCAAAGCATACGTTTACATGGCATTTATTTTTACTCTCTTTAAAAGGAATGCAAATCATTTTTACCTTTTTATTGAAATTGGTTCTGGTTCATGCCACTCTACACAGCTGAATACAAAGGATCAGGGTATTTTACAGCTACTTTTATTATAGAAGCAGCATTTAACTAAGCCCAACGAAGTACAGTGACCTGTCGGGGTTATCAACAAATTCACAGTAGTTCTTAGAATCCAGGTTCTAGACTGTCTTCTCCCTAAACTAACGGGTTTTCAACTTTCACCACTTATTTCAGAAGATTTTAATTAAAATATTATGCTGATTAATAAATGCTATATAATTGCCAAAAAGAACTTCTAAGGTAATAAAACAAAGAAACCCAACCACATTCAGATTCTGACTTTTCAAGAAAAACCTCCCGTCTGTGACATCAAGTAAAATCTGACTGATACGGTTTTACCTCTGTGTCCCCACCCAAATCTCATCTTGAATTGTACTCGCCTAATTCTGTATTGTGGGAGGAGCCTGGTGGCAGACAATCTGAATCATGGGGGTAGTTTCCCCCATGCTGTTCTCATGGTAGTAAGTCTCACAAGATCTGATGGTTTTATCAGGGGTTCCTGCTTTTGCATCTTTCTTATTTTCTCTTGCCACTGCCATGTAAGAAGTGTCTTTTGCCTCTTGCCATGATTCTGAGTACTCCCCAGCTATGTGGAACTGTAAGTCCAACTAAACCCCTTTTTTTCGTGAGAAAAGACTGAGACACTGGTCAAGGCATTGTTTGCAATCACACATGCTGTCAGCCTTGTGTGTAGGAGCAAGTAGAGAAGAACTACAGATTGTCACAACCTGCTCCTGTGGTCATCCACTCTACTTCCCACAAATAAAAAATTCTGGCTCTATCAATTTGTAATTTTGTGATACAGAAAAGATTCTTAATCTTTAGGTTTATTTCCTTCTATTAAATGAGTGAACCTTTTCAGAGCTCTGTTGTTTTCTGTTTGCTTGTTATTGGGGGTAGGAGAAGAAAGTTATCCCAGCATTAAAATGACTTCTAAGAGGCGTTGCACATTGCCTCAACTAGTTTAGGCTCACAAGAGGGGCGAGCAGAAGAAATTAGATGCTGTAAATGTATTTGGAAGCTGTGTGAAACAAAGAGCACTGTCACTCTCCTGCTACTTTTCCACAACTCCTATCCCCAGCACTGAGCTTAGCACAGTTCCGCGGAACATCTTTCCTACTTATTTTTATTTATTTAATTTCTTTAGCAATGGCAGGCTGGAGTGCAGTGGCACAATCTCAGCTCACTACAACCTCTGCCTCCTGGGTTCAAGCAATTCTTGTGCTTCAGCCTCCCGAGTGGGTGGGACTACGGGCTCACGTCATCATGCCCAGCTAATTTTTGTATTTTCAGTAGAGACGGTGTTTCACCATGTTGGCCAGGATGGTCTCAATCTCCTGACCCCATGATCCACCCGCCTCAGTCTCCGAAAGTGCTGGGATTACAGGCGTGAGCACCAGCCTTTCCTACTTATTATACAGCAGATCTGTCAGCATCAGACCTGTTCTATGCAAGGCATTATTCTAGTTGCAGGGGTTATGTTAGTTTAAAAAAAAAAAAAAAGAATTTCTTATCGGCATGGAGCTATGAGGGGAACTTGAAGGACTTTAAGCAAAGAAATAGTAAAATTATCAAAACTGTATTTTTAAAAGTAGTCTCATATTCTTTACATATTCTTGCATTGTTTCAGTGGTTATAACAAGCATGTACCACTTTTGTAATTTGAAAAATATCAAATAAAGAAAAGAACTGCTGGCAATGTAGAGGAGAACTTGGAGGGCGGGCAAGACTGGCAGTTCGAGGCTGCTTAAGGGACTGTTCCGACCCGCAACACAGGGGATTTGTGAAGAGGAACTGAAGGGAGGTAACACTAAAGGGAAGAAGGAGCAGTGAAGAGGTTCAAACAATATTAAGACAGTAATATAAATAAGGGAAATTAATTGCAGGTCAGAGAGCAAAAAGTAAACAGGAGAACTTTCAAATATGGGGCTTGGGCAGACAGTGGAGAGGTGTTTTGAAACATATTAAAAAAAAGAGTGAGATCTAAAATTTTAGCTATTACATAAATACTGTATGCATTACATGCCTCATGAATACACGCATAGAAATTCATCAAAATGCTAACAGAGGCTGGTTCTGGATGGTAAGTCAATCATTTTTTTTAAACATCCTTTTCCAAATATGTACAACTATTAAATATCAATAAAAACATACACAAAAAAAATCCTTTCCCTATATCTTTGAAATTTATCAAGAGTGTGTACTTTTGTATACGTTTTGTATATTTTCAAATCACGTTTCTTCCAAAAAGCAGTTTGCCTTTGGTAATAAAATTCTATGATTATAAAACTCCCATGAGAAAAGCTGGTCAAATGGCAAACCATTCTATATTTCATAAACTTATTAGACTGTCCATAATTCTTTTATCTTTGTGAGTTCTCACTAGCTATGAGTTTAGTTTACGAGGGTGAAGCAGTCACAGTAGTTGTATATTTTCTTTTCTATTCAGGAAATTCACTAGCTGAGATAGGTGACAGAATTGAAAGCAGGTATTTTGCTGATAGTTATTTGATTACTCAGTAATCAGTGTAGTCACTTAACAACTGTCTACCCCTACTTTGAGGCATTTCCACAGATATGTGCGTGACTGACTCTCTCACTTCAAATGGCAGCTTCTCAATAAGGCCTATTAGGATTATCCTAATTATAAGAGCAACGTGCCCTTTTCATCACTACCACCACAGGCTTTCTGATTTTCTTTTACTTGTTTCGTTGTTTTCAATACACTTATCATCTAATATAAACTCGTTAATTATATTTAGCGTATATCTCACTGCCTAGAATATAAGCTGCTGAGGTCTAAGGTGGATTTTTGTTATTTTTATTCCCAAACACATCCCCAACCCCAGCAATGCTTGGCAAATAGTGGATGCTCAAATAAATATTTGTTGAATTAATGCATGTATTAATGAACAAATCCATAAAACAGTAAATGAAAAAAAGCAAATGACTAGTTTTTTTTAAAGTACTAAATATTGTTTTACAAATAACCATCACTAATGTTTTTTTACTTTAGAAATTACTGATTCCCTGCTTAAATATTTGTAAACACCAATTTAGTCTATGGGGTTCAGCAAAGTTCTCTCTTCATACATATTTCTGTTACAAGTTTCCCTTCAGATTCAATAAACGTGAGAACTGCTCATACAAATCAAATAACTTCTCTAATTAGTTAAAATTTAAAAATATAAACTTTACCAGCAAACGATGTAATACTGTTTTAACTTTAGAGATTCCAAACTGTCTCATTTAAAAGTGTTCATTTACTACTGAAGACCAGTAAGAAACTCTACAATTTTTCATCTAACCACATGATAGGTTGATTTTTTTTAAATCCTTAATAATGAACCACAAGAACAAGGGAAAAGAAACAAGAAGGCAAAGGCAGTTTATTCCAAGCTCAGTTTGCTATGCCTCACAGTTATAGCACCATCTACTGTTTACTATGCATAAATGTTATAAGGGCTGGTAATGCAGAAGTTTTTTGTCATTTAGTTTTTTAAAAATGTTCACCCATATGGATGAAATCATATAAGTGTATGTTTAATTTGATAACAATCACATGTCCAACATGGAAATGTAGAAGTGAAAACTGAGAAATCAATGTAGTATTAGAAAAATAAACCATTTACGTAAGTCTCAAACAAGAATATTCTTCAAGAAAAAAAGGACAAAAGCCAAATACAAGTTATTAAAAGAGGAAAAAAATTAAAAGATACTTTAGAACCTTGTTAATGGAGTATTTCAAAATAAAAAATTCGACAGAAAGGAAACTATCACATAAAACAATGAGTTTATATTTGAATATCTAAGAATTCGCCGTAGCCCTTTTTCCCTACAGACAGCATTATAACAAGGCCTCAGTAAATTAACAACTCCCAGTTAATTACATACATTTTAGTATACTAAACCATGACTATTTTAGCTTATTCAATAGTTTGTAACATGTAAATCTCTTTAGTGGCAATGCAACTGTCCCTACCTTTACAGTGACACTAACATTACTTACACCAATATAGGCTTTCCCGATATCCTAGGATGTCTTAGCACTTCTGACATAGCATCTTTTGTCTCTTCCATTCTCTCTTCATCACTTGAATCCACCACAAATATTACCCCAAAGGATTCAGCGAAGTAATTCTTCCAGATTCCCCGAATTCTTTTTCCACCTCCCAAGTCAAAGATGGTGACTTCAAACTTTCCTTGTCTAAGGTTAATTTTTGAAAATCCAACAGTAGGACCTATATCTTCAGGGCATTCTGTTTAAAATTATACAAAAAAAAAAAAAAAAAACTTTAGACTTTAATTGGTAATGTTAATTTTTCAACTAAAATGACACAGAGTGTTATTTGTCTTATTTTAGCACCAAGTGGAATATTTAGTATTCACTTACACAATAAATATTATATTAAAGCATACTGATTTGGGAACAGTCCAGAATATCAAACTACAAATTTTACTCCATGCTGATAGGAATTTTTTTTCCCCTGATATAACACCTGCACCTAGCATGTAATCAGTACTTAATAAGCATCTGTTGAATTAATAAATGAATAAAGTCTTGCCTTTATGGCTATTTACTGTCCAAGTTACAAACAAGAAAAATGTCAACCTTTCAATACCATAGGCATCCACAGGGGCTGTTACAACATCTGTGGAGTTATAAAGAAAACCATGAACACTTAGAGAATAGAGGAGCTTAGAAGACTGAGAGAAGCTATAAATAATAAGACCACTCTTTTTTTTAATTAGCCAAATTAAAGCTATATTTGCAATAAAGAGACCTTTAAGGGCAGCTTGCAACAAAAAGTTGATTTCATTCTTTCTATAGAAACATATTTTAGATGTTCCAGTAAATACATAATTGAATTTTTTTGGCTTTCTATCTATGAAAACACAAAGAAGGTACAGGATGTATATGAACTTCCAAGGAGTGATGATGACAGTTAAGAGATTTAAGATACCTGAGGATCATAAAGGACGTCATAGGAGAGATGGAATTTAGGCCTTAAAGCTGTGTAGAACAGGCAGAAGAGGAAGGGTAATGGCAATGTAATGGAATATGAAGAAATTGAACATTGTGCCTGCAGCAAACCCTTAAGATTATGAATGCAAACAGAAGAGCGTTCTGAAGATAGAGAACAAGGAGCCACTGAAAATATCTGGCAGACCAATGATATAATTAAGGTGACTGAAATAGTGTTTTATTAAGATTAATCTTGCAAAAGTCTCTAGACTAACCGAAGTGATAGTGATAGCCTCTTTTCAGAGAGGCATGAAAATAAAGGAATAGAAAAGAAAGAACTCATGAAATATTAATGGAACCTGCTGATTCATGGCTGTAGAGAAGAGTTCAAGCTTCATGTTTGTCTCTTCCATTCTTTCTTCATCACTGGAATTCACTATAAATATTATCCCACAGGACACTGTTCAGACTTGCATGATCAAAACAATAGCCACAAGCCACATGAAACTTTTTAAATTTAAATAAACTGAAATTAAATTAAAAATTCATTTTCTCTGTTGCATCAGTTACATTTCAAGTTTTCAAAAGCCATATGTGGTGGCTGGTACAGTGGCCCAGGCCTGTAATCTCAGCACTTTGAGAGGCAGAGGCAAAAGGATTGCCTAAGATCAGGAATTTGAGACCAGCCTGGGTAACACCTAGAGTTGAAAAAAAAAGCCACATGTGGCTAGAGGTCCACCCTAATGGACAGAGCCAATATGGAACATTTCTATCATGGCAGAAAGTTCTATTGAACACCACTGGTGTTTAGAGGGTCTTATTCCCACATTTAGCAAAACATTTGCTATTAAAAGATTCATTTGAAACACATTCGCTAGACTTATGTGTGACTGAGAAGCAAGCTTACAACACACCAATTTCTGGTAAGCACCTTAGTGAAGTTTACACAGCACCTGAGAAACTTAAGAGCCACTACAAATCATACTTTTGCTAATACTTTCATTATCTAGAAAGAGAAAAAGGTAAAGTTAGACATATAAGCAGCATGATTTCCCAGAAACAGGATTACATTTAAAAATGTGATCTAAGCCTAACCAGAACTAGTTTGTGTGAATAAAACAGGCAGCTGTCTTTCAGTATGAATAGAGAGGAATCCCAGGAAATCATTAGTGAAAACAAATCAGCTATGCTGAAATAGGTGTAAGGGAACTAACATGCATCGAACACCTCCTTGGTACCAGGACTCTGTTAGGCATCAAGGGTGCAAAGATGAATTAGATATTACTGCTGTCCTCAAAGTACAATGTAATACAGAGAAGGAGAATATTAACAGAAATAACACAGAATGTGTTATGTTCTTTAAACAAAATAATCTAGAGACAATAGTGTATAGGAATTCAAGGGAAGGAAGGTGAAAAGAAGGAGGGGCGAGTTATGGTCTAGAAAGGCTTTCAGAGAAGAAATAAAATCTTGGAATGAAGACTTCATTGTAAGTGAACACATAAAAGCTACATAATTGTAACAGAGAAGGAAGAACTATATTTTAGGCAGAGGGAACAATGTAAGCACAGATGAAATGATGGCAATATGCCCAGTGAACCAATTCAGATGAAGAAATTTTTTTCAAGGTTACATGGTAGGCAGAGGCGAAGGTCTTCAGGACTTCCAAAGCCTGTTTCTTTTGATACATGGAACACCTTCTATTTGTGTTTCACATTTTAATGTTCACAAATTCAGCATTTGTGTTTCACAATTTAAATGTTCAGGTACAGCTTTCCCATAAATCCTTCTCTGACGATTCCTCCTACTTCTACTATCACCTTTACCTCTAACATAATACTCTGTCTTCTGCGGATCTTCACAATAGCCTATACTGTCTCAATACATGGGCCCATGTCTTTGTATCCTTAGCACTCAGCACAAAGCATATAGGGCTCAATACTACAGCACCAAACCACTGAGATAACTGAAGCTGCTGTCCCATACATCCATCCTTTCTCTTGTCCTTCTATATATTTATCCATCTATCCTTGTACATATTTAGGGCCTCTTATAGATGAGAAATCATACAAGAACCAGGAACACAAAGATATATGGTCCCCAATTCTGAGAATTTCAGTAAAGTATATGTGGTAAGACATAATCTCTAGAAAGTCCAAAATAAAATGCAAATATATAATCAATAAATTTTTGAGCATTTCTTATAAGCTAAGTAATATGCATGGTTCTTCTGATCTCATAGAGATCATCTCCTCGGTTGCATCAGCTACATTTCAAGTTTTCAAAAGCCATATGTGGTGGCTGGGTACAGTGGCCCAGGTCTGTAATCTCAGCACTTTGAGAGGCAGAGGCAAAAGGATCACCTAAGATCAGGAATTTGAGACCAGACTGGGTAACACTGAGAGCTAAAAAAAAAAAAAAAAGCCACATGTGGCTAGTGGTCCACCCTACTGGACAGAGTCAATATGGAACATTTCTATCATGGATCAGAAAATCCATCTTCTGATCTCATAGAGCTCTAAGTCTATTGGGGAAATATGTATGTGTGTGTATATATATATGCATATATATAATAACTACATATAAAATACACACACACACACACACACACATATATATACGCAAGTAACTATAATTTGTTTTTTTCTCTTCACAAATAACTACAATATAATGAAGACATGTGAATATCCAACAATGCTAGGGACCAAGCCACACAAATAATTTTCATACCAAAAATAACAATAGTTCCCTATTAGGAAATACTATTTGATAGTTGGAGAATCCTAGATTTTTTAAATCTAGGCTCATCACTGCTTATGACAGACTATAATCCCCAACTACGGCAGGTAGGGGTGGCCATGAGAGGAAGCTAGCTAGTTAAATATCTGGAGGAGGAAAACCCTGATACGTGTATGGTACCTGCCAATTTTCACAGTATAAATACTTCAACCATGGCCTATCTCAAACTAGTAATGTGAGGTACCTGAACACAGAGTTGGGAAGAGAGATGCATAATCGTCTCTCTCTAGTTGATAATGGGCCAATATGAACAGCAGGTGCAGAACACCACTGCTTCTAGTCAATGGCGTGTGAACTAAAATGATGCAGCAGCTTCTGGTTCAGCTCCTAAAGGAAAGGAGGATGGCCTCCCCTTACCCTTTACCTCTTCCTTCTAGCTGAAATGCCCATTTTGTAGTGAACTGCCTTTGACCATGTAGGTGAGGGAGAACACGGGGGATGGCAAAGCAAATAGAAGAAAGAATTGATCACTAACACCATGGGGTTGCCAAACCTGTCCTTAACTACTTTTGCCTCGGCTGTTATAAGAAAGAAATAAAACATCTATCTTGTTGAACCACTGTAATTTTAGGTCTCTGTTAGAACAACTGAACCTGTGTCCAACTAATACAATTACTGACAACCATGAAGAAGAGAAGTTGATTTAAAGAAGTAAAGTTCCAGGAAGAAGTGGTACTTTTATATCAAGATGCTATTGAGGGCTGGACGCAGTGGCTCACACCTGTAATCCCAGCACTTTGGGAGGCCGAGGCAGGTGGATCACAAGGTCAAGAGATCGAGACCAGGCAAACCCCTTTCTCTACTAAAAATACCAAAATTAGCTGGGTGTGGTGGCACACACCTGTAATCCTAGCTACTCAGGAGGCTGAGGCAAGAGAATTTCTTGAACCCAGGAGATGAAGGTTAAGTGAGCCAAGATCGCGCCACTGCACTCCAGCCTGGGTGACAGAGTATGACTCTATCTCAAAAAAAAAAAAAAAAAATTTTGAGGCTTGTATAAATTATGGTAAAATTAAAAAAACAAAATCCATATACAAATGAGCATGGCCAAGCTCCACTGAAAGTTTATTCATGGCACTGAAATTTTATAATTTTCATGTGTTATAAAATATTTTTCTTTTAATTTTTTTTCAGTCATTTAAAATGCAAATCACATTCTTAGCTTGTGGGCCATACAAAAACAAGCGGCAAACGAGATTTGACCTGGAGGCCATGACACCTTATCTAACCTCCTTTTATCCATTCTGTTAAAGCCTGACATTCATGGGCACAGGCACCTAAGAATGTGCTAATCAGATTACCTAATTTATTATGTGTACTGAGTGTACTTAAAACATCCTTCTTCCTTTCTTTTACATATTCCACCTCCACATATCCCTAAGTTCCTTTTACTGAGTCCAGAAAATGCTTAATGCCAAAGCTGCCTTCAACTTTGAGCCCCACCCCCTTTCTCTTTTTGTCCTTCATCCCATATTTACTCTTCAATTTCTTACTTGGAAATTTTTTTAAGACTCTAATTTCATAGATCTACTTGAAGCTTCCTAGATTTGTCTGCTCTTGCCTTTTTATTTTTATGTTGTCCCACTTATTTAACTAGAGAGAATGTCTACTGATCTTTTATTTCTGGTTCTTTTCTTACTTCTCCGCCTTTTATTTTTTTTAATTTCCATGTGAAATTGAGAAAAAGGTATCTGCTAGTTTCTTTTCAGATGTGTCTCCCTCATCTCTGACTGCACTGCCATTGCCTAAATCCAAACCCTCAGTTTGTTTCTTTCATCTATAGTGCCACAATAGCTTCTTTTTAATATTCATATTCTATTTATTTAATTATTTCTATTTTTTGGAGTTGCGTTCACTGTTGCCCAGGGTGGTCCTCAAGGGATCCTCCTGCATGTGTGTGTGTGTGTGTGTGTTTAGAGACAGGGTCTCACTTTGTCACCCAGGCTGAGGTTCAGTGAAGTGATCACAGCGCACTGAAATCCAAACTCCTGGGCTTGAGCTATCCTCCTGTCTCAGCCTCTAGAGTAGCTAGACTAGAAATGCGCCACGATGCCTGGCTAATCTGTTTATTCATGATAGCTATTTTTGTGAGTACACAGTAGGTATATATATTATGAGGTACATGAGGTATTTTTGTATAGGCATGCAATGCATAATGATTTCATCATGAAATATTGGTATCTATTCCCTGAAACATTTGTTCTTTGTGTTACTCTTTCGGTTGTTTTTAAATGTTCAATTAAATTATTATTGACTACAGTCTCCCTGTTGTGCTTTCAAATACTAGGTTTTATTCATTCTATTTTTTTTTTTTTTCACAACAGCTTCCTTTTTTTTGAGAAAAAGTCTCGCTGTGTTGCCAGGCTGAAGTGCAGTGGGGCGATCTCGGCTCACTGCAACCACTGCCTCCCGGTTCAAGCGATTCTACTGCCTTAGCCTCCCGAGTAGCTGGGACTCAGGCGTGCACCACCATGCCCAGCTAATTTTTATATTTTTAGTAGAGGCAGGGTTTTACCATGTTGGCCAGGATGGTCTTGATCTCTTGACCTCATGATCTGCCTGCCTTGGTCTCCCAAAGTGCTGGGATTACAGGCATGAGCCACCATGCCCAGCCTATATACAGGTCACCTACGGCAGCTTTCATACTATAATGTCAAAGTTTTGCAGTTCGGAAAGAGACTGTATCACCACAAGGTCTAAAACATTTGCTATCCAGCCCTTTACAGAAAAAGTTTGCTGACCACTGGTTTAAATAAAGATGATGAGTGCTCTGTGAAGACATAACATAGAAGATAACATAAACACAGGCTTTAGAAAAATTCATACACAATAACAGGTACTTAATATTATACAGTAGCATTTGAGATGAGAAAATGCTTTTCTCCAACAGTGAGTTTTGCAAAATGTTAATAAACGCCCTTCCACTATTTAGTAAGCATGATATCTTACTGCAATCATCAGTTTCCAGAAACAAATACATGTTACGCTTTTCTCTCAGTTCCTACCCTTTAGATCAGTGGTCCTCAACCTTTTTGGCATCAGGGACCAGTTTTGTGAAAGGCAGTTTTTCCATAGATTAGAGGGTGGAGCTGGGTTTGGGATGATTCAAGCACATTACATTTATAGTGCACTTTATTTGTATTACTGTTAATTGTAACATATAATGAAACAATTCTAAAACTCACCATAATGTAGAGTCAGTGGGACCCCTAAGCTTGTTTTCCAGCAACTAGATGGTCCCATCTGGGAGTGACGGGAGACACTGACAGATCATCAGGCATTAGATTCTCATAAGGAGCACATAACATAGATCGCTTGCACGTGTGGTTGACATAGGGTTCGTGGTCCTAAGAATCTAATGCCACCACTAATCTGACAGGAGGTGGCGCTCAGGCAGTAACACAAGTGATGGAGAGAGGCTATAAATACAGACAAAGCTTCGCTCACTGGCCTGCTGTTTACTTCCTGCTTTGCGGCCTGGTTCCTGACAGGCCACAGACCCATATCGGTCCATAGACCCAGGGTCGGGGACCCACTTTAGATGCATGACTAGTGATTCTAGGTGCCCAACAAAGTCACTAGCGCGGACACTGCCATACTGTAGCACAAAGCATTAAATTAAGATTAGCTGGCTGGGCTGGGCGGGGTGGCTCATGCTTGTAATCCTAGTACTCTTGAAGGCCAAGGCAGAAGGATAGCTTGAGGCCAGGCATTCCAGACCAGCTTGGGCAACATGGGGAGGCCCCAGCTCTACCAAAAAAACCCTAATAAATTAAAAATTAAAAAAAAAAAAAGATTAGCCAGCATTCAATGAGATACACTCAATCCGATGTAATATATATGATATATATTCAACATTCAATGAGATGTAGTACGTATAATATAAAGCCATTTAATGATATAGAGGTTCTATCTATAACTTAATTATAATAATTACATATCATATTACAAAAAGCATCAAAAGATTCAAAGAACTATGCTGGCTAACTATATTTCTACCTCTCTTTCATCCAAGCATAGCCATGTGACTAACTTCTAGCCAGGAAAATATAAGAAGAAGATGAGTATTCTTAAAAGCTGGGGTAGGTCATCTTTTTAAATTTTTCTTCCTGTTGTCCAGAATACAGATACTATGCCTCTTAGCAGATCAAAGGCCTCAAGAAGTCTGTGCATCTCTGCATGTATTCAAATCTGAAACATGATAATAATCTGGCCCCATTAAGCCAGAACCTATTTGCCATATGAGTCACAAGTATACTAAGAATATAAAGTAATGCAGTACACAGTATCTGTACCAAATTACTAGGGAACAAAGCAAGTTAACACAAATAAATAATTCAGAATAATTTAATAGAGTTCAGAAAGCACATAAATATTTTCAGCTTACCTCCTTGGATTCCCTTTGCTGTTGCGGTTTTACCAGCATTATCAAGTCCCAGCATCACAAGAGTCACCTTTCTTAAAATAATAGAAATTTAAAAATCACTTTCTTTGTTAATTTAGTATTAAGGAAAATGAAATGCAAATTCATTAATTCAATCAACATTTAAGGAGCACCTATTAAGCACAAGAAAATCTGCTGGAAGCTAGGGGGCACAATGAGGAATAAAATATAGATTCAAAAACAAATTCATGAAAAATACCTTTAAAGGATCATCCTTTTGTTCTCTAAGCAAATAAAGTAAAACTGTACAATAGATAATCCAAAGGACAGAGAATATGGGAAACAAGGAAGACAAAAAGGGAGGCAGGGAGACAATCTAACTGAGTTATCTATTGTGGCTAAAGATTCAATTTTCTAGTTACTTCAAAGCTAACTAATTATCACAAATCAGTTTATCTTATGAAAGTACATACGCCTTTTTAAATACGTAGCAACTTACTAAGCATAAATTTATATATAATAACAAGATTATGAAGTGCTAACATTTTGAAAGACAGTTACTACAATTGTAAAGTTGAAAATATTCTCACGATACAGTTAAACTCCATAGACAAAAAAAAAAAAAAAATCTACTTCAACTTTAATACTGAAGAAACCTAAGTCCAGGTAAATTAAGTAGTCTGGTCAAAGGTCACACAATGTAACTATACTTAAAGAGTCAGAACCAGAACCTAATTTACCTAACTTGTAAGGACTCAAATGTGAGACAGGTATGAAAGAACAAGCCCATTATACTAGTCCTGGTCCTATTAACTGGTGATTCAGTTTACCACTACATAGTCATTCCTGTTCCGGTTGAACTTTGCGCAATATAAGAAGTGACACGTCCATTACCATCACGGATTTGGAAATGAAAACTGCTTTAAGAATACACAGAAAAAGAAAGTCACAGCTTAACACAGGTGCCATATTTAGACCATAGGGTATGGCCACTCTCCAATGGAGTATACTTATTCCTCTTTAGCAATCATCCCATAAAGGATTGAAAACAGAATTTAGATGGCTGTAAGGGGTGTTCTTTCATTTCTCTAGGCTTTGCTCTTTTGGATTTAGACCTGCAAAAAAAAAAAATTCAGGTGTACTCAAAAGGGCCATATAACAGAGAGGACAGAGGTGAGAGTGTGAGACAGTCTAGTTATGGGTCACTAGCTGTCAGTCTGGTAAGAGCCAAATGGGCAATTTATTAAATAAATAGTCACTGACCATCTTCTATATACCAGACACCAGTGTTCTAGGTCCTTGAGATACACGTGTTTATTACAGCAACCACCATCATAATAAAAGACAAAAACAGATAAAGAAATTCTTCCTTATTACACTTACACTTTAGTGACAAGAGACAGACACTAACAGTATGATAAATAAGTAAAGCACAAATTTTAAAGTATATTAGAAAGTAATTAGGTACTATGGGAAAAAAAATAGAGTAGAACAGGGTACAGGGAACCAAAGATAGGGGTGGGAGGTGGGGGCAATTTTATATAGAGAGATCAACACAGGCCTCATTCTTTAGGTAAAATCTGAGCAAGGACTTGAAGGAGGGAGTGAGTTATGCATTATGTCCAAGGCAAGAGAGAACAGCTGGTGTAGACACTTAGTACAGAAACGCAGGAAGGTCCAAGAATCAACAGGGAAGCCACTATGACGAAACCAAGTGACAAAGGAGCAGAACAGGAAGGAAGCCAGGAAGTCAGAGACACGTTAGAGACCAGTTCATGTAAGCCCATGGGGCAATGTGAGGATTCTCACTTCTACTATGAGTAAAATGAATTTACTTTCCATATTAATTTCCTTTGTTATCTAGGAGCCTTTACCTTTTCTAGATGTTTCAACCATCCCATATCTAGCATGGGAAATAAACAGAAGCTGTGTCTATTCTTGACTCAGTGAGAGAGTAAGGTAAATCACAATAAGCAGCACTCCAGGGCCCCATTCTCAATTGGCTGGTGGCAAAGCCAGTGGGAATGCCACAAAGACCCACAGCAGATTATAAATTTATGGAGAAGAGGTAGTAGGCAAGGTCTAGGAACCTCTATCCATCTAGAAATGCACCTGCATTATCAACTGTGAAAAATATGAATTTAACTACTAAGGAAGCTGTAAGATATTTAGAATATAATTTATTTTGTTTGAAGAATTCATAATTATGAATTAAATAATTCACAGAACTATCAAAGAACAAGATTTAAGTACAAAATAACCTCCAAAACAAAATATAGTAAATGACTATCCAGAGAAGATGGATAACGTGGCATTTAAAATGAGTAGCTTAGCAAAGCATGGAGGTGGATCCCTGTAGTCCCAGCCACTCCAGGGGCTGAGGCGGAAGGACTGCTTGAGCCTGGCATGTCAAGGCTGTAGTGAGCCATGATTGTGCCACTGCACTGAAGCCCGGGCAACAGAGCAAGACCCTGTCTCAAAAATAAAACAGGCCAGGCGTGGTGGCTCATGCCTGTAATACCAGCACTTTGGAAGGCTGAGGTGGGCAGATCACTTTGAGCTCAGGAGTTCAAAAGCAGCCTAAGCAACATGGCAAATCTCAACTAAAAATATAAAAATTAGCTGGGCATGGTAGCACACACCTGTAATCCCAGCTACTCAGGAGGCTGAGGCTGGAGAATCACTTCAACCCAGAGGCAGAGGTTGAAGTGAGCCAAGATCACACCCCTGCACTCCAACCTGGGCATCAGAGCAAGACTGTGTCTCTAAAATAAAATACAACAAGCCAGGCCAGGCCCAGCCTGGTGGTTCATGCCTGTAATCGCAGCACTTTGGATCCCCAAGGAGGGCAGATCACTTGAGCCCAGGAGTTTGAGACCAGTCTGGACAACATGATGAAACCCCATCATTACAAAAAAAAAAAAAAATACAAAAACTAGCCAGGTGTAGTGGTACACACCTGTAATCCCAACTACCCAGGAGGCTGACCTGCAAGAATCGCTTGAAACCGGGAGGCAGAGGTTGCAGTGAAACGAGATTGCACCACTTGCACTCAAACCTGGGCAACAGAGTGAGGTGCTGTCTCAAAAATAAAATAAAATAAGCTAAAACAAAATAAAATTATGAAATATACAATGAATTGGACTAAAGTCATGCTAATATTAAAGCTAATTCAATTGTTCTTTATGTATAATGCATTTCAAGATCTACAGTGCTTTAAACATTACCATGAACCAAAGCAATTACTTTTGGGGAATAAATCCCTGTTTTCTACTAGTTTACATCATTTATTCCATAAATATGAAGCACCTATTACATAGTAGCAAACAAACATCCACAATTCTCAGGCCTCATAAACCTTAGAGCCTAGCAAGAAAACAGGCATTGGAGGGTTATAATTACAGTAACAGGTGATAACTGCTATAAATTATGGGAAGCAACAGCAGTCATAAGGATAGGGAGCAGGCCACAGAGCCTACTCTGGAAGTCAGAGAAGACAATACCACTAATACACAAATAAGCATCAATGGAGTCGGCACTTCCTGGAAACATCACGAAACCTTTTCACATCCTTTATGAATCAAAGTAAAAATTCTCCGATATACCTTTTTATGGAAAATAACCCCTTGTTCTCTATTACATAGAGTATCTAATGTTTTTCTCCATTATTGTCAAGATTAAAAAAAATATATATATCTAAATACAAATCTACTGTGCATTTCGAAACATTATTCCTAAAGCCACCAAGAGAGTTAGCTTTTACTGTAAGAGTCTGTCTTTATTTATAAGCTATTATGCTCAAACAAACAAAAATGTCCTTCAAAGAAGAAAGTCACTTTAGAGAATTATAATAGTGTTGGGACTGGCATAAAATAGTTCTATTTTCACTTTGACTACCTTTGCAACTAATTTTCAAGATTATGTCCTGTTCTTGAAAAAAAGGCTGTAATTAAACGTTTTAGGGAATTAAAGCACTAATGAATAAACATAATAAGCAGTACAAATAAAAATCACAGCATGAATTACTACAAAGCCTGAGAACACATTAAATTTATACTTTCAGAATGCGATTAAAAGGTTAACATTCACCCAAAACTCAAACTTCTTTGCAACTCTTCAAGGAATAAAGAGGTACAATTTACCTAACCTATGTCAAAATATACACGTAGCTATGGCTTTTTAAAATATGATAAACTGGACAGTCATGGTGGCTCACATCTGTAATACCAGCACTCTGGGAGGCTGAAGCAGGAGGATCACTTAAGCCCAAGACCAGCATGGGTAACATAATCAGACTCCGACTCTACAACTACTTTAAAAAAAAAAAATTAGCTGGGAATGGTGATGTGTGCCTGTAGTCCTGGCTACTCAGAAGGCTGAGGTGGGAGGATCACTTGAGCCCATCGAAGCTGCAGTGAGCCATGACTATACGACTGCATCAAAGCCTGGGGAACAAAATGAGACCCTGTCATTCATTCATTCATGCATGCACGCACACATGCATACAAAAAATATGGTAAATTATTATTGGGAACAGTTTGGCTGTGGTGCTACATGACAACAGAAAGATCAAAGATTGCCTCTTTTAGTCTAATGGTTATTTGATCAAATACATTAGACCTTCAAATTGAAAAAATAATATGGAGTGCTCTTAGGTTTACAGTGTCTAGAAAAGTTGATACTAGCAATAAAACCAATCAATTTGGTCAGATGGTAATTCAATTAAAGCACTTTAAGCATTGTGGACACAAAAATGCCTCTGAAATCATTTCTGTCCTGAAGTGCTCAACCAGAGCACATTAAGCATGGTGGACACAAAAACGCCTTCAACATCATTTCTGTCCTGAAGTGCTCAACCTCTAGTGAGAGTGACTAGAACATAAATACAAATACATTCTGACACTATGACAGTTTATATGCAAGATGATAAAGGAATACAGAACAAGGGGACTTTATCCAGCCCCAAGTTAGGGTAGAAGGTCAAAGAAGCTTCTTAAACAAGGTAATGCCTAAACTAAGTTCTTAAAGTGAGAATTTAGCCAAGCAAGGGAAAGGTAAAAACAGAAGGAGGATG